GAACCCAACTTTTTTCTTAAGAAATCCACCACGCTCTACAACTTTTCTCCCAACAACTTTTTGCTCAGACCCCTCTAAACACCTTAAATCGAAAGTTACCACTTTGAAAAAAAAGTTGTCAACAGGCACATCTACCCTTCCCGTTGTCCGAACGACTTCAACTTTTTTTCTATCATATTCTCCATGTTGTGTTGCTTCAACCTTGTAACTGACCCAACTTTCCCCGACTTCATCTTTATATTCAAATTTCACTTCAAAGATTCGAAAAAACACGTTTTTTCACAATATCTAAAAAACTCGCCCCTTTCCCCCACTTTTCGGATTTTTCCTGAAAACTACATTAAATTTCCCATCTATAGAAAAAAACCCCACCCCTCTACGACTTCTCAAACTTCCGGAGGACTTTTTTTTAGCTGAGTGCCTTTTTACTGTTATATATAGATAGTAATATTGAGTAATATAGTAATATATTATAATATAGTAATATATAATATAATATATAATATAGTAATATAATATAGTAATATAGTAATATTGTTATATTTGAGTGGGTGTAAAGGGGTGGGGTTTTTTGCTATAGATGCGCAATACAATGTAGTTTTCAGGAAAAATCCGAAAAGTGGGGGGAAAGGGGCGAATTTTAAATAAATTTAAATAATTTTTTAAATAAAGCAATTTCCGTTAATTTCCCAGTATTTATAATCTTCAGACTCAAATGTCCGTTCTCAGACTCAAGTGACACCTTTGAAAATATTTTCATTCAACTCCTCATTCAATTCCGCATCGAATGACACCTCAACCATCTTTCTATAACTAATACTTCAAAAGTTATAAATTTTTTACATTTAGGTCATAAATAAACATGCGGGCCTTCGGCCCGCATGTTTTCTGCAACGCGTTCCGGTTTTCTCAAAAAAATAATTTTTAATCTGGCGGTTGCCTCCGGCAACGCGTTTTCTGCAACGCGTTCCGTATTTTTAAAAATAATTTTTAATTCTGGCGGTTGCCTCCGGCAACGCGTTTTCTGCAACGCGTTCCGGTTTCCTCAAAAAAATAATTTTTAATCTGGCGGTTGCCTCCGGCAACGCGTTTTCTGCAACGCGTTCCGTATTTTTAAAAATAATTTTTAATTCTGGCGGTTGCCTCCGGCAACGCGTTTTCTGCAACGCGTTCCGGTTTCCTCAAAAAAATAATTTTTAATCTGGCGGTTGCCTCCGGCAACGCGTTTTCTGCAACGCGTTCCGTATTTTTAAAAATAATTTTTAATTCTGGCGGTTGCCTCCGGCAACGCGTTTTCTGCAACGCGTTCCGGTTTCCTCAAAAAATAATTTTTAATCTGGCGGTTGCCTCCGGCAACGCGTTTTCTGCAACGTGTTCCGTATTTTTAAAAAATAATTTTTAATTCTGGCGGTTGCCTCCGGCAACGCGTTTTCTGCAACGCGTTCCGGTTTCCTCAAAAAATAATTTTTAATCTGGCGGTTGCCTCCGGCAACGCGTTTTCTGCAACGTGTTCCGTATTTTTAAAAAATAATTTTTAATTCTGGCGGTTGCCTCCGGCAACGCGTTTTCTGCAACGCGTTCCGGTTTCCTCAAAAAATAATTTTTAATCTGGCGGTTGCCTCCGGCAACGCGTTTTCTGCAACGTGTTCCGTATTTTTAAAAAATAATTTTTAATTCTGGCGGTTGCCTCCGGCAACGCGTTTTCTGCAACGCGTTCCGGTTTCCTCAAAAAATAATTTTTAATCTGGCGGTTGCCTCCGGCAACGCGTTTTCTGCAACGCGTTCCGGTTTCCTCAAAAAAATAATTTTTAATCTGGCGGTTGCCTCCGGCAACGCGTTTTCTGCAACGCGTTCCGTATTTTTAAAAATAATTTTTAATTCTGGCGGTTGCCTCCGGCAACGCGTTTTCTGCAACGCGTTCCGGTTTCCTCAAAAAAATAATTTTTAATCTGGCGGTTGCCTCCGGCAACGCGTTTTCTGCAACGCGTTCCGTATTTTTAAAAATAATTTTTAATTCTGGCGGTTGCCTCCGGCAACGCGTTTTCTGCAACGCGTTCCGGTTTCCTCAAAAAATAATTTTTAATCTGGCGGTTGCCTCCGGCAACACGTTTTCTGCAACGCGTTCCGGTTTCCTCAAAAAATAATTTTTAATTCTGGCGGTTGCCTCCGGCAACGCGTTTTCTGCAACGTGTTCCGTATTTTTAAAAAATAATTTTTAATTCTGGCGGTTGCCTCCGGCAACGCGTTTTCTGCAACGCGTTCCGAATTAAAAAAAATAATTTTAAACTCTGGCGGTTGCCTCCGGCAACGCGTTTTCGCACAAATATTTTCGAAGATATATTAAAATTTAAAATTTTTATGAAAATTTGCAGTCCGAGACTGAAAGTTATAAACGAGACTCAAGTGTCCTTTTCATTAAAAATCCATATTTTAATATTCCCATTAATTTTTATAATTTTTAAAATTTATTTCCACTGATTTTACCCTTCAGACTCAAATATTCTACCCTCAGACTCAAGTGACCCCTTCAAAAATATTTTCAAAAAATTCGCTTTATTTTTACGAGTCGAATGACACCAAAATCATATTTTTCTGATAACTACTTCAAAAGTTACAAAAAACGCCTCAACGTTGCTTAACTTTCCAGATCGGACAGTCTAGATCGTCAAAATTAAAAAATTTTCCAAAAATTTTAATTTATTAAAAAATTCATAACTTTTTCAAAAAAAGTTGAAAAAGCATAAAACAAAGCTTATTCGATGCAGAATTTAATTCTCTATCTTTCATCTTCGAACACTTTTCAGCTATCTTCAAAATAAAATATAGTTAAAGTCAACTTTATACTTTCTCCTCAAAAACACGATTTTTACTCCATATCTTTTTTTCTGTTAATCCAATCAACTTTAAACCAACTTTTTTCTTAAGAAACCCATCACGCTCTAAAACTTTTCTCCCAACAACTTTTTTCTATCTCGTCGATAAACACCTTAAATCCAAAGTTACCACTTTGACATAAAAGTTTGTAAACAGCATATCTACCCTTCCCGTTGTCAGAACGACTTCAACTCTTTTTCTATCATATTAGAAATATGCTCTAGATGATACCTTGTAACTGACCCAACTTCCCCCGACTTCATCTTTACATTCAAATTTCACTTCAAAGTTTCGAAAAAACACGTTTTTTCAAAATATCTAAAAAACTCGCCCCTTTCCCCCAACTTTTGGAGGTTTTCCTGAAAACTACATAGTATTGCGCATCTATAGCAAAAAACCCCACCCCTCTACGACCTCTCAAACTTCCGAAGGACTTTTTTTTAGCTGAGTGCCTTTTTACTATTATATATAGATAATTATAAAATTTGATAGGAAGTCCTCCTGATTCGCTTTTCTATTATGACTTTCCCTATAACACAAACATTTCAAATGAAGATGAAAATGAGAATGACAAAGATGGAAATTGAATTTGAGATTTGACTGTTGGATATGAAAAGAACAAAGAAAAAGGGATATTTTTGGGAGTAAACATTTTTTAAAGTTTTTTTTGGGAATTTATTTTTTAAATTTGTGCAATTCTAAAGTTGGAAATTTTAAAGAACATTTATATTTTATGATTTTTAGAATTGAGTAGAGATTGGACTTGAGAATTAATTGAGATTTGAGATAGGATCTCCAAATCTCAATATTGATAATTGAAATTTTTAACTGAAATCTAATCAGGGTCCAATCTCTAATTTAGTTTACCTATATTTATTTTGTGTTTTAACATTAAATTATTTTTGATAGACAAAAGTTATTAGTAGATAAAAGTCATTAAGATAATTATTTAAATATAATAATTAGAGCCAGGATTTTTAGTCACGAAAAACCCTCTAACTAACTATAACTGACCACTGTCTTTTTTACTTTAACTCATTCAAACAGACACGCAGAATTTATGAAGTAATTAATAATTAATTTAAATTAATATTAAAGCGACATTAATCTAAAAGGCGAGCATGAACCGAAAGCTCAGAGCGATAGACTTTGAAATTTAAATTTTTAAATTAAATCCTTTAAAACATTCGTTTTAAATAAAATCTAGATTATAAATATTATAAATTTATGCATAATACAATATTAAAGCATAAAATTAAATGCATATTTATTTAAATATTATTTTTCATTTGTTTATTCATCAATTACTTTTTATTTCACATTCAACCTGATCGCTTTAACGTCCACCAGCGGGAGGGCCATAATAAGCATTTTGTCCTAAAATAATTTTTAATTTAAAAATTAAAAAATAAACATACTAGGCACCCAACCAGTAATACCATCTAAAAATTCATTCAATTGTTGATAACTAGGTAAACGTCCATAAAATTCTCTTTTTACACGTTTTGGATGTTTAAGATGATTTAAATATTGTTCAATAAATTCTTTACGATTATTTGGGGATTTTTGTAATTTTTTATTATTTTTAGCATTTATTTGAATATAAATTAAGACAAAAACAAAAATAAATAAAATTAATTTATTTGACATAATTTAAATTGAGGGAGGGGAAAGTGAGGTAATGAGTTGGTAATAATTAATTTGAAATGCTTATTTAAATATACCTAATTAAAATATTAATTGTGTGGTCTATTCAAGCATTTGTGTAAATTTCAAAAATTGAAATTTTTTTTAGGAATTTTCAGAAAAGCTATAAGCTTTGAATTATTCGTTAATAAATTTTCTAAAAATTTGTTCAGCTAGTCTATTTTTTAAATAACAGAATAGGATTTACCTTAACTAAAATTAGATTATCTTTTGATTATTTTAACTATTTATGTAAGGTTTTAAACTTTGATAATTAAAAAAAAATTTTAAGTGAAAATTGGTCTAAATTATAATTATTTGCACAAATTAGGTAGCTTAAAATGGACCACACACAGAATAATTAATTTGTAAAACTATTTAAATAAGATATTTATTGGATAATTAACACAACCAAATCTCCTCATCCATAATTAATTAAAATGCAAAATAAATTATTTTTCCTTAATTTAATTTTTGTTTTAATTTTTTGTACAATAATTAAAGCAAATGAAGAGGAATTAAAGAATCCTCCTCAGGAATCGGGAGATGATCCCTCTATTCTTTATGAACAATATTTAAATCATCTTAAAAATCCAAAACGTGTAAAAAGAGAATTTTATGGAAGTTTACCTAGTTATCAACAATTGAATGAATTTTTAGATGGTATTACTGGTTGGGTGCCTAGTAAGTTTATTTTTTACTTTTTAAATTAAAAATTATTTTAGGACAAAATACTTATTATGGCCCTCCTGCTGGTGGACGTTAAAATGTCAAGTTGTGTTTAAAGAAAGAACAAATGATGTGATAAACAATTAAATGAAATATAATAAACAAAGACAATGAAATTAAAAAAATCTAATAAAAAATAATTACACTGACTTACATTATTTTAAACATTTAATAATTACAGCTAAAATAAAAATATGAATAAAAATAAAATATAAAGGGTTTCGTAAAGATTAATTTGATTTAAATATATTCGCCAATAAATTATTTTCATTTTTTGGCATTTTGTTTAAAAAATGAATAAATGACATTAGATCCCAATTACACGTTTTCTCGAAAGTTTGTTTGGGGATTCTTCTTTTTGATTTTTGAGAAAATTTTCAACCATCTACTGATATAACAAATATAAAGATGTAACAAATACGTATAATAAGATGTATAAAAAATAAGAATTTCCTGAGTAAACTTTATTGCATTCAAAAAATTATTAAGAAAATATTGAGTATCAACTAGTGTTCGGCACATGGGTTCGGTAATCAGTAATACTGAAGCCAAGGTTTACTGACCAAGGTTTACTGATTTTTCCAACGTTTGATAGGTACGATAACGGTAATACTGAAAATTACCGTTCTGTATGGAAATTATCTCGGTATTACCGTACCGTACCATGCCGAACACTAGTATGTACGCACAGATAATAATTAATCAACTAATTTTTTACAAAAATTTATTTCTAAATTAATTATCTAATTCTATTCTTAATAAATCTTGAGCACATTCAATTCCATATTGTATCCAAGAAATGGCAAGACTAATTTGTTGTAATTCTAATTTTGCTTCGAAATGATTGTTAGAATTAATTGCACGTTTCCACCTTATTACAGAATCGAGCAGAAAAGGAAATGGATACTGAAAATATGGGTGAATTACAGAAATTCTCATTAATTCTTATAGTTATTATAGTTTGATGCACCAATAAGTCAAAGAATTAACGATTGACCGCTCTTATCAGATCAAAAGCTTTTAGAGAATGATCGAATCGGCCGGTTCTTTTGGGAACTAGAATAAAAATAAACATCTTCTGATTTATAGTAGGGTGGGACAAAACCGTTTAGCTAAATAATAAACGGTATACGATAAACCGGGGTTTCTGGTAAAATTAAATGGAACAGTATACGGGTTCAAATAAACGGCAGAAAAGATATAAGGTTTTTCAAAATTAAACGGTTTTGTCCCACCCTAATTTATAGTATAGGAAATACAAAAAAGATAAGGATCCTAAAGATCAGAAATCAAATTACACCCAATTATTGTTTCATCACTGACAAGATCCAATCATTTGTTAAAAAGTCATGAGCTGTTAAGTGGGAGCAATCATTAAATTAAGGGAAGTATTACAGACTTATTTTTGATTTTATTTAAAATTAATAACCCCGGAATTTTCTTCTTCAATAGGTGCAGAAAATATAGAATGTCGTCTATTTTCTCTATTTTCATCAGTTTTGTCAACATTTGTAATTAAAAAACAACGTTCCAATAAAAGTAGTCTTTGATTAATTTGTTCACGTTTAATTAATGAAATTGGCATTTTCCCATTATTTACAGCCTTTTTAATAAAAATAAATTAAAAATATTTGAAAAATATTTTAAATACATTAATAAATTGTTGAAAGGGAATTGATAATTTATGGAATCTTTCCAAGGATTTTTGTAGTAAGTCAAGTTTTGTATTGTTGATGAATTTTGTTACACCTTCCAATCTATAATTTTTTATTTATTAAAATCTCCTTCAGAATCTACTTCAGAACAACCGTTAAAATAAAAGTTAAAGAATTTCCTTGTGAAAATTTGTAAGTAAAATTTAAATATTGATAAAATCAGAAACAGTATAGCGTTGATATTTTAGGATCTAGCCGTACAAATATTTCTCAGACTAGATAAAATCTGACTGGTTATTTCAGACTAGTCGAATTATTTTGGTAGCTTTATTTTTGTGAATTTTCTCTTTCAATAGAAATATTGAGGATTTTCTACCCATTTATTCAAACAATGCTCATTTATTCAAAACTACAAACTTCATTTGTGCATTAGCCCTTGCCAAAAATTCATATAGTGCTAGACAATAATCTTCGATATTAAATGGAATTAACTAATAAAAATAATTTCTTTAATAATTTAAATTAAAAAAATTAAATATTTACAATATTATCTGCTAATTGTTTAACAATTTCTAACCAAAACTGCCCAAGAGCAACAGAAGTTAAACCTTTGGTATCCAAAAAATTTTCATTTAGCCAGGGGACTAAAAATTAAATAATCTTATTTACTAGTCAGTCTTCACTTAAAGATATACCCTTAGGGTTTGAAAAAGATAACGAGGGGTACATTAAATTGGAAGTTTTAGACAATTCTTCTACCCGATGATCAACCAAATTTTATTTTAAATTAATGTGTATCTATTTATCTTAGTAGTAATCGGCTGTAATCAAATTTATTTACTTTCATATGCAGTGTGATACAACATAAATGAATAGGGCACATTCTCCATTCTGATGTCAGCAACAGGAATACCAGCAAGTGAAATAAATGATTGAAAGTCTGATCCAGAATGAGGAAGGTGAATAAATGGGAGTGATCTTATAAAATATAAATTAAATTTATGTAGGGTTTATAAATTATTATCAGATTTTATATTTACTTTATAATTACTCCTCTCTAAATAATAGAATTAATTTTATTAGCCTTTCCAAAATTAAATAATTTAATTATATTCACACAACCTATCCCCATTAAGAGATGAACGTGTATTGTGAAAACGCCAGGAATCAAAAAGTGTATATCTTCCACTATTAATTTCAGATTCTGATGGGTGTTTAATTCTTTAAAATAATTATTCAAAAAAAAAATTAGGAAAATTGCCTAGAAGCCACATCCACAATTAATCTATATAGAAGAGGCACAGCCTTTATATTAAGTGTCATATTTCCATTAAAATTATCCAAATTAATATAAGCAACAGCTCTTTGTTTTAATTGAAGCAAATTTTGTTCTACCCATTCTGTTGACCCAATAAGGCCAAATTCTGATTTTTTAAAATTATTTTCTCTTAATTATTTAAATACCCTCAGCATCCCATTGACAAAAAATGATTGTCCTTCTTGGTCTCCAACCAGTTTCTTTTGAATAAATACTCAAAACTCGAGCCATTTCCAACATTATAGAAGTTCCCGTTCCTGGATCTATACTTCCCTAAAAATAATTTCTATGCTTGAAATCTGGCTAGGAACCGTTCAAATACTTGATCGAGTTTTTGGGGTTTACTGTGATCCTCTAATGAAACTCAATCTGTACTTTTGACCGGCTTCTAACTAATTAAAAACACCTTAGACCAAGCATCTGCATGGTTCCCCAATAAAACCCATTTATCAGGCTCTTCACTTCCTTCAAGTTTAGCTATAAAATTTTTAATTGGGCGGTGTACATTTTTAGTTTTAACATCCATTCGGAAGAGATTATTTCCAGTTAAACGATAAGTAACTGGAAGAGCTCCTGACCAACGAGACCACTAAAAAATAATTTGTTAATGGATCCAAATTTAATTACAATAGCTGGTTCTCCATCCATTCTTTCAAAAATTCTTTGAGCATCATGATATCCAATACAAGTTACTGGGATATTTGGAAGTATTCCCGTTAATCTTAATTGTTTTTCAGTAAATTCACGATGGACATAATCAAGTGAAGGAAGAAGGGGAGTCTTTAATTAAATAATTTTAAAATAATTCTTTTGGGTTTTATTTAGTTAATTTAATTAATTTATACCTCAGGGTCACCAATTCCTCGATATAATGTCCCTCTTTGACTTCCTATATTTTATGAATATTTTTTGGAGTTTTTAAAATTTTCGAATAACCTGAAGGAGGCAGCCATACAGCATTGGGAAATGTCTATAAAGTTACATATAAAATTAGGTATTATTATTGGAATTATATGTGAATGAGGACCTAGAAGTTGTGAGACCGACCCCCTATGTTAATGCAGACCTGGTCACGGATACTGATTTTAGTATCCGTATCCGGATATTTACGGTGGATACAGGCGGATATCCGCATGCATTTTGGTATTATCTGTATCCATATCCGTATCCATGTCCTAGTCTGTGTTAATGTTCGACCTGATAAAACCATTTTCCCAAACTCTATATCTACTCAAACCCGTGTGAACTAATTTTTCAGATCATCCCTAGTATGATTAGAATTATCCATGTGGGAATACTCAGTTGTGCACTAAATCTTTGGGAAAAATTTGAGAGTGACATACAAGACATAAAAATGAGGTCCAATTTTATTTTAATTAATTTTTGTATTTACATAATTACTAATAATTTTTAAAAATTTGCCTCATTTCCAAGTACATAATCAACAGGATCAGAATATAATATAACACCAACAGCTCCTCTTTTCTCAGCATTAAATACTTTATCTCCTCGAAAAATCCCACCATAACGAATTAAAACAATTTTTCCAGATATTGAAATATTTGACTTTAAAAAATAATTTTGCCAATTATTTTTAAAATTAATATAAATTTTTTCATACCTTTTTTAACAATTCAAAATCATCATTAGTCCCATAATTAGCGTAAACTAAATTGCTCAGTGCCGTACCATTAAGAGAATAAGCATTCCACCACAAATGCTAAATTTATTTTTTTATTCGTTTTTCTAGAACAGAATTAGGGTGCCAGATCGCTCGACTCGAGCTTCGAAAGAACTGCTCTAATCGAAATAAAATAAAATTGGAAAAAACTCGTAGGGCTCGGCTCAATTAAATCAAGCCTAAAAATGCCGGCTTTTTAAGCTTGATTGAAGCTTAAAACCCTAATTAAAATGTTAACCAACAATTCTTGGATCGTCTTCCAATTGTTGTTTTAATTCATTGTCCATAGTTGTGTTTAATGGCAATCTGCCAACACCACTAGAAATTAATTCCCAACGAAAATATCGGTCGCTCCATGCATGTATCTTTAAAATAAAATTTTAGGGCTACAATGGTGGGTAATGTTGTATGGCTGGGTAAAATGGTTAGGTAAAATGAAAATTTTTTAGTCTTTATATGGAATTAACAGGTCTATAAAATTTAATTTAATAATTACATACAGTATTAGGTGAAGAATAATCTGGAGAACTTAATAAAACACTCGAATATTCAAAGTCTTGTACATTAAAGCCAAAAGATTTGTACTGAAAAATTATTTAACAAGGCATAAAATTTATCTTAAATTATTTTTAATTTAAATAAACACTTTTTCTGCAAGTGTATTCATTAAATTCAATTGTTCTTCAGTACCGGCAACGTGCATATTTGATGATATCCATTTTAGACTTTCTACTATTTTTGTTCCATTAAACAATTCCATTAATTTTGAGCTGGTCTCGTTATTCTATAAAATTAATTTTTATTTTTTCTATTATTTAATAATTTTAGATCCCGAGTGACGATCAGTGTTTGGAATTTTGAAAATTGCTCGTACTTGCCTATTTTTTTCTCATACTCCTACACAGGTACGAGTAGAGTTGTCGGTTCTGGACCGAACCGACCCGAACCGAAGAACCGAGGATTTTTCGGCTCGGTTCCTCGGTTCGGTTTCTGATATCCGAAGAATTTCCAGGAACCAACAACCCTAGGTACGAATTTTGGTACGAGCTTCCAAACATTCGTGACGATTCAGATCCAAAAAACTACCTTTTCTACATTCTCTCTAAGTAATCTTTTATAAGGAGGTAAAGTATCAGATTGTTGTAAATTTATTTCAATTTGCTGTTTAGCAATTAAAATAACAGAATAAGCCAACAAAATAATTGAAAGAAGTAAAAGTGAAATAATAATAAATGGAAAATAATAATTTGTATTTTTATTTGAAGATTTTCGTTGTTTTTTTCTTTTTCTTGTTTTAAATGATTTTGTTGGGAAGGAACTATTTTTATTTAATTTTACTGAAAAAAATTATTTTTAATTTAATTTTTAATTTTAAAAATACATTTTTTGTGAGAAGAATTTTTTAAAGGCCATAATGAAGTTGAGTTGGTTGTTGAGGTTGAATAACGAGTTTTCTGTTCGATTCGAAAAATTGAACCGTTAGATAATGATGAAAATGAAGGTTTTTGTTTGTCTGGTAAAATAATAATTTTTATTAAATAATTTTTATTAAAGTATATAGAAGAGACAGAAACTCTTAACGATCGAACCGAGCGATTTCTAATGTTTTTTGGAAAGGGATCGGGAACCTATCCTATTCTAGTCGTATCTGGATATTTTTGAATTGTAAATTTTCAGTTTTTACCATTCCAGAACTTGTCGGATTTCTTAAATTTCCTGTCTCGGTCTTTTTTTTTTCAAAATTCCTATCTCTATTTAATTCAAAAATGATGTTGAATATAATTAACTAAGACTTTAATTAATTTAATTATTTTTACTTAATAATATAGTCAAAGGTTTAAAAAAATTAATTAATTATTTTATTTTATTAAAAGTATGTATACTTTTATGAAAATAAACATGAGGACTAGATTGTTGAAATCGACGATTCCATTCAATAAGTGAATTTGTAGACGAGTCATTTGACTGTATTCCACTTCCATCTATTCCACTAATATCCTCATCCACATCGTTGTCGTAAATTTCTTTAAATTTTAAATTTAGTTTTGTTAATCCGTGCTAATCGCTGTGGTCCTTTCTGAAAATTCTCTCCTATGCCCTCGGAGAGAATTTTTTTCTCTAAGGCTCTCAATTTTAAACAAAATAATTTTATCAAATTTAAATTTCCTCACCATTAGAAATTAAAGAATATTTTCTTTTATTTTTGTCCTCACTCTCATTAAAAAGATATTGAGTATCTAGAAGACGCTGGGTAAAGTCTCTAAGAAAAAATAATTATTTAATTATTTGTAATTAAAATTTTATTAAAATACTTAATAGGATCAACAGGAAAATTTGAAGTTAATTTATCACAATTATTTGTATTAATTTTGTTGTGATTTAAATTATTTTTATTACAATAACAACATTGTTGTTTTTTGTTCATTAAAGATTAATAATTGGGTTTATAAATTATATTTATATGAACTAAAAACAAATATATTGGAGGGAAATTTATAAAAATTAATTTTAATTGTTCCGATAAAAACTTTTTTAATTTTAATTAGTAAGTAAAAAATCTCATAATTTTGGTTTATCATAATTGGAGGAATTTTCCCGAAAATTTAAAATTTTAATTTAAGATGGCTTGCTTTGACATTTGATAAAATGTAAGGAAGTAATTCAAATAATTTTCTTGAAAGCAGTTAGTATCAGGGATATTTCAAACCGATTCTTAAAGACTGAAGGTGGGAAGATAATACTTAAAATGAAAAATACTGAAACATAAAGATGTAAATTAAAAAATCTAAAAAAAGTTGAAAATTCGGCGGAAGTGGACATCCCTAGTAAAGTTGAATTTTTTTATGCATTTCTTATTAAAAAATCAAATAGCTTAATTTTTAGAGTTAAAAGAAAAAATATTTTTTATGAAATAATTAATCATTGTACATTTGTTGCAATTTATTTAAAATTACTAAATAGCAAAAAGAGGTTTCAGCAAATGTTAATAATGTAATTAATCATTTATAAATAATATAATAAATTGAGAAACTAATTTTATTGGGAGAATGTGTCTCTTAGCTTTTTTTATTTTATTAATTAATTAAAAATTTAACAAAACAATTATTTAAAATTAACAAAAATTTTAAATTAAAAATTTATTTAGTGGAAAATTCTTCCTGTTTCTACCGCCTATGATTTTTAAAATATGATATGGTCTTTCCTGATATAAATTTTAAGGTCTAATTATTTTATTAGATCGTTAACTATCCTCCCTCACCCCAATCAGTGACCAACTACATAGATTAAAAAAAGTAGATTTAATTGGACCTAGTAGTGAAAATATCTTAAAATGACGATTTAATTTGTGAAGAAATTTAATAATTTTTATAATTTTTATTCAAACAAAGTTCAATTTTAATTTCAAAATTCAAAACTTAATTTTTCTGAAATTCCAAAAACAAATTTTTAAAAAATCAATTTCCTCGCTTCAATAATTTTTAACAAAAAAACCAACTAAAAAAGAGTAAATTTGCAGAAATAAATAACAAATTAGTAAGCAAGAATTTTGCAAAAGAAAATATTTAAAAAATATTATTTTCTATAAAATGAAATTTAGTTTTATTTAAAGCTTCTGCTAAACTTTACAAAAAATTAAAAAAAATTAATTCGGCAAAGTCTGAATTCTAATTAAAATGAAAATCTTTTTAAAAGGAAATTAGAGAAAAAAGAATAATTTAGAAAAATAAAGAAAATCCTTCAAAACAAATCTCTTATTTAAAAATAAAAAGGAGGAGGAAAGGCTAATTATGAATTTTGTAAAAACAATTTTTATTTAAAAATAAAAAAAATAAAATTTTATTTTGAAAATATGTATGGCAAATAATTAAATTAATTAATTTTTAAATATTATTTTATTTAAAATTAGCAGGAATCTAGCCGACTCGACTCACGAAATAGGGAATTTAATTTTTATCTTGGCTATATCCCTAATAAGTAAGGAGTGATCTTTACTGTGCAATCAAAGTTCTCTAATCACACATTGGGACCGAATTTAGGAGAGTGAACCCGAAGGAGGTATCATATCAGAAGGGTTAAATGTATACTTCTATGTTTATTTGAACCAAAAGGTACAATTCTAATAAAGGGTTCTAATTGATAGTTAAGGCAAAAAATCAAAAATTTAGGTCCAAAAAACTTAAACAAACCATCCGCAATTTTTAAATGCCCTAAAATGTAGAATCTTAGAATAGAAATTCTGGTAAAGATAACTTCTCTAGTTAGGAAAATGTTGTTTTATTGATAAGAAAGGTTCTGTTCGAAGAAAAAATATCTATAATAAAGGTGTATGTATTATTATAAAAATTAATTTAAAAATTTCCGCATTTAAACTATTCTCTACAGAATCAAAAAAAAATAAAATTACTAAAAAACAATTGTCTAAATTTTATTTTTAAAATAATTTTCATTTTTTTTGCACCTGTAATTTGATATAATCAAAAACAAATTTTGTTGGCCATAAAAAAGTAAAAAATACTAAATTAAGTTTAAATTTGTTATAAGGATCAGGCTTTTGGTCAAAAAATTTCTTTTCTTTTTTTGAGTGATTTAATATCCTCCCTCAATATTTCCTCATTTAATACATAAAAGAAGAATTTTTTGATTATTTATTGTTTTGATTGATGGAAATATTTAATATGTACTAAAGAAAAAAACAAATAGGTATATTTGTAGATCCATCCACAAATGTTTGCAAAAAAAAAGAAAAAAAAGAAAAATACCGCAAAATAAAAAAAATAAAAATTAATTGTGAATCGAGCTTTGGATAAATATGTATATTTGAAACTTATTTTTTCAACTTTTAAAATTTTAAAAATCCTTGTCAAAATAATTTTGAGTCAGAATTTTGAGTAAATTTTATCACAAAATAAGATAAATGTTCACTCCTATTTAGCGACACAAAATTAAATTTTTGAAAAAGTTCGAAATCGAAAATATTACAAAACCATGATTTTGTTGACAATCATACAGTGCTGTTCAAAATTATAAGCGCACTTGAAAAAATTGAATTTTTTAAAATTGAATTAAATAATTTCGAAATATTTTAATATCGTCATGTTTCTAATACATTTTAGTATTTTAATTAAAAATTTGATAATATTTGGTTAATTCGGTCTTGAGTTATACATATAATTTTTTAAAGTGCGCTTATAATTTTGAACAGCACTGTAGTTTTAGCAAAAAATTTAATTAAAAATAAAATAAAGATAAGAAAAAATTTTCTTCCACTTATTTTTGAGGACTTAAAGGTCACATTTTATTGTTTTTTTTATTTCTCTTTTTTTCAGAACTAAAAAATAAAAAAGGCATTGTTGCATTTTAGTATAAATATAAATAGTAGTGGTTTTTACTAAATTCTCATAAGAATTGGTCATATTTTTGCCTTTTATTAAGAGAATTTTTACTTTTAGAGAAATTTTTATAAAAAAAATATAAGAAAAAATATTTTTAACGTAAAAATTGAAAAGATTTTAGGCATTTAAAAATTCTTGAAATATTTTTATTTTTTAAATTCAAAAAATTTTAATCCTGCTCGGGTAAAGAAAAAATAAATTAAATAAAAAAATTAATTTTATAGTAATACCGTATTTACTCGATTATTCCCCCTCCCCTGAATAATTCCCCTCTCTCGAATAATTCCCCCTGCCGCGGATGAGTTGAAACAACAATCTCCCTCCCCCAAATACCCTACTACACGTTCAACTTTCTAAACTCGATTAATTCCCCCTCCCTTGAATAATTCCCCATGCCACGGATGGGTTGAAAAAATAATACCCCAGGGGAATTAATCGACTAAATACGGTAATTAGGGATGGACACAACCGGTTATTAACCCGTACCCACGGGTTTTCGGTTAATCTAATTTTAAAATACCCGGTTACCGATTTTGAGTTTTAGATAAATACCAGCTTTTTGGAGTGAATTTTTAATAAAATCACACACATTTTCACAAATTTCCGGTTTTCTGTTTTTAAAATTTTCTAAAAACGGTTCTTTAAGGCAAAAATATCAAAAATTCAGGTTTTAAAACTGGTCATGTCCAACCCCTAGTAATAATCATAAAAAAACCGATTTCAATACAAAAGAATAAAAAATTCTTTAAAAAATAAATAAACAGGTGTTCAAGCTATTTTTAAATGACCAAAGGGTTTTTTATGTAAAAAAATTTTTTTAAATATTAAAAAAAAACAAATGTTCTCTTCAAAAAGATTTTTGATTTAAAAAAGAACATTAATTAACAGACTTGTTCCCAAACTCTTCATAAAATATTTATTTTTTGACCTTTGTTAAAAAACATTTTTTATTAGAATGGGAAAGGACAAAACAAGAAAGAAACAAGGTAGTTAATAGGAAAAGGTTAATAAAAATTAATGAAGGGAACAATTGGTTTTTGGGGACATTAATTAAATAAAATTAGGTAGCAAATATTAAAAATTATAGGGGAGGGGGCATCTGATTTATTTTATAAATTTAAATTAGTGATTGGACCGCACCGTACTACGGCCATATTTTTTATCGGTAGTATGGCACGAAATTATCGGTAGTATGTGCCATATGCCATATATCGGTAGTACGGTACGAAATTCCGATCACTAATTCGAATTATAAAGAAAATTTAATTTTTGAACAAAAGAAAAAATAAAAAATTTTTGTTTAAAATTCAGAAATTTCATTTTACTTAAAATCAGGTGTAATGCAAAAAAATCAGTTGTGCTATAAAGGTGTGTGCAAAAACATAAAAAAACTATAATAGAAAATATATTTTAAAACATTTAACAATAATTATTATAAAGGCAATAAAAATTAGAAAGGCAAAAATAATAAAATATACCTTTATAAAAGAATTCAAAAGAATTTTAAAAAATAAAAGAAAATGACCGACACTGGTCTCTGGGCCAAATAATAAAAAAGAATAAAATCGGTGAATGACACAACAATTTTTATTATATTTAAATAAAAAAATTAATTGTTATTTCTCTTAGCCTTTTTTTAAAAGAAAATAAAATGTTTGAAAATAAAAATATTTAATTAATTTATTTTTTGGTCTTTGATTAAAAATATTTTTTAAACATTTAATTTTAAATTTTAAATATTTTATTAGCCCTCTAGTTATAAAAGCCCTCTAGTTATGTTTTAAATCCAAAAATTTTGATAATTCTTGCCAAAAATTTACTAAATTTTAAAAACAGAAACAGGAAAATTTTTTTGAAAACAAGTGAATTTTTAAAAATTCCGCCAAAATAAAACAAGCAAAATTTAAAACCGAAAACCGAGGTTTTATAAATTTGGATTAGTCGAAAACTTAGAGTAATAATAACAGATATACATATTAGTGTTTCGCCGGAACCGGAACCAAAAAATCCCGGAACTTCCGGCTTACCGGAACTTCCTCCGAAACATTACGGTTTATGTACAACCTTACTATACTCATCTGGTTTAAATAATTAATTTCATAAAAAATTAAGAATAAATTTAAATAGAATTCAAAAATAAACCCAAAATACATATATAAAATTTAATTATTGTTTTATTTATTTTTATTGTATTTTTCCTCCACTCCCTTTTCTCTTTACAAAATAGCATTTTTGTGCGCGGTTGACTTTTACTATAAAGTTTTTAATATTCCCATAAAGGCATGTTATTTTAATATTAAAAATGTATGAGAAAGGCAAACAAAAATTTAAATGAATGGAAATATTTAATTATTATAAAATTATTTTTTAAATGCCCTTTTATGGCGTTAAAAAATTTTTTTCCAAAATTTTCAAATATTTTTTTAACAAAAATAATTTAAAATTTACTCTTTAATTATTTTCGACTTAAGCTATTATTTGAATAACAATAAACAATTGAAAAAAAATTAGAGAGGAAAAGGCAGTAATTATTATTTTTTGACTGTTTTTTGTTGTTTTATTCAAACCCTTTTATTAAGATATATATGCGAAAATTTTATGTTAAAAATTAAAAATTCGAGAGAAAATTAAAAACAAATAAAGCAACAAGTTTAGAGCAGCAAAATTGTCAGAAATTTCGGTACTTTTCCTGGTAATAGTGTCGTTTCCCAGCCCCCTTTTTTTCCTCCCAATTTTCTACCCTATGTTTGTACGGAATGGTCAAATTTTCCCCTTTCTTTCATCAAATTTGCCTTTCCATATTTTGAGTAATGAGAAGAATCATTTTCCCAATTAATAAAAATGGAAGAACTAAAGAATTTCAAACCTATTGATTTATATGAAAAATTACGTTTGAGTGATAATGATTTCGATGCATGGCGAAAATTCAGACATCAAGCTGGCAACAACACTGAAACCTATAAAAGTTATCTCCCGGAATTTATGTGGCGAAAACGATTTGGCAATATTGAAAATGTTTTTTATAATTTTTGGCATCATGTCTCACTTTTTTATCCTTGTGAAAGAAATGAATAAAAAATTAATCTTTTTTGATTCTTCTCATTACTCAAAATATGGAAAGGCAAATTTGATGAAAGAAAGGGGAAAATTTGACCATTCCGTACAAACATAGGGTAGAAAATTGGGAGGAAAAAAAGGGGGCTGGGAAACGACACTATTACCCTTTTCCTTTATACGACCGCAAACGGAGTGCCAGACGATTTTGATCGGCTTCAACTTTTTAATGCTTGATCCAATACAAATGAATTTTATATCATTCGAAAGCCCTCGATAAACGGTATCTTTTTTCCAACATGATGGATCAAGTCTGATCACCCATTAAAAAGTTATAACTCGATAAATGTGAAAAACATCAGCTTAAATCTTACTTATTACAACCTCCAATTATATGGATAAAAAATTAAAGATGGATTAGACTTCAATTTTAATCAAAATTTTATTTAAATTAAATATTATGGTTTACAAATTTACACAAATTCCCCCCAATTTTTTTTAATCATTTATTTTTTATTTTAACAAAATCACAATTTATATATCCACTCACTCTCTCTCAACTACAAAAATCAAACAATTTCATATTTTTCAGTAATTAAAGAATGTTCACTAGTAAACTCAACTTGTTCACTTTCTTGTCCCTTTTCAACACTATCAACCTAAAAATTAATTTTTTTATAAAATTAATTTCAAATAAAAAAACACCGTTATTTTGCAAAAAGAATCCAAAGACACAAAACGAATATTAACTGGGAAAAAATGGTCGGCATGCCCATTTGGGGTTGAAAATTCTAATGTTCCATTTTTGTTTGTTTTGTCAATTGAAGTTAGACTCCAAACAAGTTGGGATTTGGATTTTTGATATTCATAAGATCCATCACATTCAGAAATAAGTGGAGTGGTTGCGGGTCTAAATAAATTTTTAAGGGGAAATTAGTAATAAAATTTGAAATTGTAAAAGATGATTAGGTAATGGTTTTCATTTACGCGGCCCAGAATCCGCAATTTTATTATTTTCCTTTTTGTGCGATATTACTAGGTCGTTTTATAAAAAAGTTCGTTTTTTCAAAAATAAATTTTCCAGGAAAAATTGATAAATCTCAAGCAATTCTATTTTTAAATTTTAGTTTCATTATGAAGCTAAGACTTTGGGCTACAAAATAAAAACAAACTCGGATAAAAATGGCTATCAACTAAAAAACATGCGGTGAAAAAAAACGAACTTTTTTATGAAACGACCTAGTACAAAATTAAATGAAAAATTAAAAAAAGTCTTCTCAAGATCATTTTTTAACACCTAATGTAATGAACGCGAGCTTGTGGATTTTCACACTTAAATTACGGATTAATTTGAGTGTATCAATGATTTAAAATTGTGAGACCACCGAGGATAGAATCGAAAAAAAATATGTAGTGTCAAAAAGTTCATAATTACGTAGCCTCAAAAAGTTCGTAAAAATTAAAAAAATATTTTACGGTAATGGAATCGTTATTTGAACATTGCGAAGTTCCATATCTGTACGTTGAAGAGTATATTCAATACTAACCACACAAGAATCGGGTGATACATTTGGCCAACAATTTACTTAAATTACAAAATTGAATAAAATGTAAAAAAATAACAAACAAGTTAATGGAATTGATTCATCATTTACTTTTACACTCCATTTAAGTATACCAACATCGACATCAACAGGGTAAGGTTTTTGTTCAGATTTTAAACGAAGAACAGAATTGTTTTGCCATTCTTTTTTATCAAGGTTTGGATGAACCTTTGAAATTATTAAAATATTTATAAAAATTCAAATATCAAAAATAGGAAAATCAAAAATAAGTAAAACGAAAAATCTCTGAATTTTGATATTCGATTCCAACAGATTTTATCTTTCAGTAATAGATAAAAAAACCTGTATTCTAGCGCCTTTAATATTTCCCTCATCGTCAACAAGATCAGAATATCCGGGTAATTTAGCCATGTCATTAGTAATTTTAATAACAACAGTATTGAATTGTGAATCAGAAATGGCCAAAGAAATTGAGCCTTGAATCTTAAAACAGAAAAACAAGAGGAATTACAAATTTTATGAGTTGAAAACAAAAATCAAAGACCTCGGCAGATGTAAGCACTCCCAAACGAGTAATGGAAGCATTTAATTTCTCACTGCATTTGAAATGAACTTTTCCGTTAGAGGATTTATCGACAGCTTCGACAACTTGAGATATTCCTTGCGACTAAAGATTGTATTTATTATCGTTAATAAAAAGTGATTTTAAAATATTGTTATTGTTTTAAATATTGTGATCAAAATATTGATCGAAAAATGTATGAAAATTCAGCCATTCTGCTCGGATGTGCGGCAATAAATTAATTCATTTAAAGATAACACTGGACAAACTTTTTTGAATATTTTAAAATTTGTAGGATTAAACAGTCAAAAAAGCCCACAACCTTCAAAATTCTAAAAATTTTCGCCTGCACCCTGAAAATCAGAATTTTTTACGCCTTTGGTGTCAAAAGTTTGCCGCCGAAAACGATCCCACTGCCCCTCCCCAGAGATTTTTCATAGGTTTTCCCTACTATAACCACATGCCGACTGAAAACTACCGTATTTATTCTAATAGAATGGCCCCTCCATTAGAATGGCCCCTCCAATAGAATGGCCTCTTTTGGGGGGTAATGAAAAATAGAATGGCCACCTCTATTTGAATGGCCCCTCCAATAGTATGGCCCTTTTAACTACAAAACATATACCTAATAAATTTCTTTATTTTCTTATTACCTGTTAAATAGTATCTTTAGTTAGGATAATCATAATATTTTTAAGCAAATCTGGAGTAATAAAAGGGAGATTAAGAGGGATATTAGGGGATTTGAGAGGATTAGGAGGGATATCAAGAAATTACAACGTTTTAATGAAGACGCAAGGGATTAGGAGAATTAATAGATATTTATGAATTTGGACTATATAAGGAAGTTGGATATAAGGTTGTCGGACACGGTTAGGATATCGGATCCGGATATCCGAAGATTTCCAACTATCCGACAACCTTAGTTGGATACATTCATTTTATCAGGGGACTTGCAGGGACACATAGGAAATTTTGATTGTGTGGCACCGAATTAAATCAAAAGTTGCCTTTTTAGCTAGCCGGCAAAAGGCTTTTATGTTTTATAGTGATACGAATGGGAAAATTCACTAACCAAAATCGAAAATAAAGAATTTTACAAGAAAAATTGATTGAATTTCGATGTCGAAAAATATTCGATTGGACAATAGATTTATCCAATCTCAGATTTTAACCTATGAAAAATAGAATGGCCACCTCCATTAGAATGGCCCCTCCAATTGAATGGCCCCCTTTTGGGGGTATCGAAAAATAGAGTGGCGGCCATTCTATTAGAATAAATACGGTATATGTTTTTATTTTCCTATTTACCAAAAAAATAAACAAAAATTCTTTTAAAAAGAACTACAAATTAAAAAATCATTTTAAAACCTTTAAAGACTGTCCAATACTCAATTTTTCCCCTTCAGCACATAATTGTTGTGAAAATGCATCTTCATTTGCACCAGATTTAGCACCCAATTTAAGAGCTTTTCCACCGCCAGAAATTAAATTTGGCTTTTTAAATGAACTGAAAATGCCTCCACCACTCCCTTCGTTCGAATCTTTTATAGCGGAAGTTATTTCGGCACGGGCCTGGGCAGAACTAATTCCTTTTGCTGAGGCAACAGCTCCTTAAAAAAGTTATAAATCTTTAAAAGATTCAATATCAAAATTAGATTTAAAAAAAGGAAAATTTTTTGTGAAAAACAAAGATAAAAATTAAAATTTTTTCCTAAAAAGGAGCTAAATAAAGGCTCAAATACTAAGAATTGGCGCACTCCTAATAATTAGAGTAGCACCCCGACCTTTGCGAATGGGCGTCGAGGATTGGGGTATGTCAGGGTAGTCTTCGGGGTTAGGTCGGAGTTTTTGCCTAAAAATTCGACTGGAACCCGGTTGCTACCCTACTAATAATACCCAATCCAAAATCCCACCATTGGATTCAAAAATTAGAATAAACCTGAAATCCCACTCTTCAAATGCTTTTTTAGTTTTTCTTGGCGTTTAATTTCTTTTTCCTTTTCTTTCATCAAAGACAATGCAGCTTTTTGTTGAGCCTAAAATTGTGAAAAATAAACCTTTTTTATTAAATAAAAACCAACAATTTGCATTTGATTAAAAACTCGTTCTTCATGCGAATCCATATCAGTAAAAGTCCGAACTTGTGCCAAATTAACACTTTCACGATAACCCAAAACAACAACTTCATCAAAAGCAAATATTAAATCAAATGCTTTATTTGCAATTTCTGACTCTTCATTGGAACGACAATATTCAGGAATCTATAAATTTAATGGAAAAATTTTTTTATAATATTCGATAAAATTGTAATAGCTTTGATCAAGTCAAAATTAAAAAAGAATGAGAAAATCCAAAAAAATTTAATTCCTTAAAAATTTCAAAATTTAAAAGAAATTTTTTCAGTTCCCTTAAAAAACTTAAGATGCCACGAAAAAAATATTAAAAAATACCAAACGAGCAAAAAGGCGTAAAGTTTCCAGATCCTCCAAAATATTTGAAGCTTTTGTTGTAATTAAAACCATATAAATACTATCCATTGGTTGATAAACATAACGAACACTGTCTGTCTCGACAAAAGTATGCTGACGTTGACCTAATTTTTGTAATTAAATTTGAATGAAAAAATTTTGAAAAATTCACGGGTTATATTTTCACCAAATATTCTCATATATTTTATCAAAAATTGATTTATTAGTTTCCAAATTAGAACAAAATTGGAAAGAAATGAAAATCGAGATTATAAATTCCACACTAACTCTCCTCAGTTTTGTTTTAATTTCGAACAAAAAATCAATTGTGGATAACTCTACAGGGAGGACAAGCCCATGTAGGCGCGCGACCAAACAGGCGCAGCCATAACTAGCAGTTGAAAATTTTCTGGACCATAACAATTTTGGTATCAATCTCTTTAGCTCGATGAGAGGAATCGTCTGATACAAATTGGGAAGGATTTGAAAATCTTGAAGAAAGTTATACTTTGCGCCGTTTTGGCTGAGCGCCTACTTGGGCTGTACCTAAAGGGATATTTGCTGAAAATTTGAGGAAAAATAATTAATTAAAAATAAAAACAAACTTTTGTCAGAAGTCACAAGTTTTGGAAAGGCATCCAAAAGTCCTTCTAATCTAGCCCTTGTCATGTCAGCCACATATTGGCGAGTAACCAACGCTTAAATAAATTATATAATTAATTTTAAAGTCCAAATAGAAATAAAAACCTTTCCCAGATTTTGTAAAAACAGAAGCGGCTATAAGAACCATTTTTAAATAAAAAAAATAATAATCTAAAAATTAAAATTTTACTTAAAAAATAAAAACAAAATAATACTCAAACTAGAGACCGGTGCGGGACGGGATCCCGCGCGGGATTTTGCGAGATCCCGTCCCGCAATCCCGCACTTTTTTCGATTTGCGGGATTTTTGGATTTATCCAGAGGGATTCCGTCCCGCAAAAAATTAAAAAAATCCCGCATGCGGGATCCAGAAACGCGATTTTAGCTGTCTCTAACAAACTTTTGGGAAAACAACGTGTAACTGGGATCTAATGTAGAGATCGGAATTTTGAAAAAACCGGGACCGGGAACCGGGAAACGGGTTCTGAAGGTCGACCGGGAGGGACCCGGACCGGGAAAACCGGGAATTCCCGTTCCCGGTTTCATCCCGGTCAAAAATGACCGGGACCCGGACCGGGAAACCGGGAAATTTAAAAAAAATTTTAAATTCATTTAAAAATTTTAAAAAGTTATCGGAGTAGTTATTTATTGAAAAATCTGATTTATAAATAGCAGAATTTAATAAATAATCAATAAAACAAATGTAAATTACAATAAATTAAAACATTAAGCGGATTACGTAGGGCTAAAAGGATTTGAGAGGCTAGAGAAGGATTGTGGGATATCAGGAGATTTTAGAGTTTAAGATCTCCCGATAGCCTCCTCAAATTTTCTATATTGCCTATATGTATTCCTCATCTAATTCCCTTTAATCCCTCGTGATCCACCTTGATGCTGATTTAATTTTTATTTAATCCCTCCAAATCCACTCTGATCTTCTCTGTGCAATAGTGATATCAGGGATTAAAAGAGATATCGAGAGATTCAAGTATTTGTTGGGTAGCATTAAGCGAGAGTATGGAGAAAAACCTCCAACCACCTGTATCACCTGATATCTATTCACATCCCTTCAATTGGAAGGCAATGATATCATATGATTAAGGCAGATCTAATGGATTTAGAGGGATAAAGAAGGCTAATCACCAGGTCCTTTGATAAAATCGCACTATAAACTAATTTCCCTCAACTTTTCCTCCAATAATACCTCCAAATTTCTCCGTTCCAAATTCTTCCGCGAAAATTTTGAGAATTTTGGAAGGCCAAACAGCCAAATTTCATCCTTTTTCAGCGCCGCAGGCGAAAATTTTGAGAATTTTTGTAAAATCTTCAATATTTTTAAGTCAAAAATCAAAACGCCAAGCAAAAATATTTAAAATTTGCTGCTAAAATTTTTCCCGGTTTCCCGGTCCAAAAAAAGCCGGGATCGGGAACGGGAAATGAAAATTAACCGGCCGGGACCCGGACCGGGAAAACCGGGAATTCCCGATCCCGGTTTCATCCCGGCATCTTCAAAAAAGCCGGGAAAAAGGACCGGGAAACCGGGAAACGGGCTCCCATACAAAATCTCTATTCCTTAAAATCGCTATTCCTTAAAATCTCTACTAGGGTAAAAATGCTTAAAATCTCTATTCTTTAAAATAACTATTCCTTAAAATCTCTACTGGGGTAAAAATAATTAAAATCTCTACACCGTGCAAATGGACGGTAGAGTCTCAACAAAAGTGTAAAATATGAACTATTCATTGGAAAACCCAGACTTGGTAATGGATACGGATACAATTGATTTAAAAATGGCTGCGGATATCTGCTTGTATCCGCTGTAAATATCGAAGATATAATACACGACTGCTTCGCTGCGGTCGTGTTCATTTTGCTTGCGGTGATCGTATCGAAGCGGCTGCTGTCGTTCCGCTGGACATGCCTGGGTTCATCCGCAGCGGCAAAAACAATACAAACAAAATAATATCAAAAGATAAGCCATAAATCAGAACAACGTTTCCGCACTGAACGTTGGCACTCAAAAGGCTTCCGAATGAAAAAATAGATATTTTATCCTATTTTTGGCCGTGTAGAGATTTTAAGGCATTTTACCCTTGTAGAGATTATGAGGAATAGAGATTTTAAGGAATAGTTATTTTAATCATTTTTAGCCGAGTAGAGATTTTAATGCATTTTAGCTGTGTAGAGATTATAAGGCATTTTAGCCCAGTAGAGATTTTAAGGAATAGAGATTTTGAGGGGATACGGGGAAACGGGACCGGGTCCCGATCCCGTTCCGATCTCTAATCTAATGTCATTTATTTATTTTTTAAACAGAATGCCAAAAATATTAAATAATTTATTGGCGAATATTTTTAAATCAAATTTAACTGTAGGAAAACTCTTTATTTTAGAAATATTTTTAACTTTCAAAAAAATAATTGATAACTAATTTTGAGCTTTTTAAAATTGTTTTTATTTTAGATTTAATTTTTAAATTAGTATATATTTATTTGGCCGTGGTTAAAATAATTTAAGTCAGTTTAATTATTTTTTATTAGACTGTACAATTGTCGTGTCACTCTCTGAATCAGGCTATACCGGATTTAATGTCGTTTACAAAATGCCAAAAATATTAAATGATTTAATGACGAAAATATTTTCAACTCAAATTTTCCGTAAATGCTCTAATTGAAGCATACCCTACGAGAGGATCAAAAAATAGAAGCGCATGTGCTTCAATTAGAGAATTATTATTGTTATTGGATGTTCAAATTTTCAAAATTGGTTGGATGTTCAAAATTATTGCACGCTCAATATTTTAAATTTAGTAAAAAGATAATTAATATTTAAATTAAATTTATTCAGAAAAATGGATTGTGAAATTTTTTATTGTGCATTTATTCTAGAGTTGTACCCCGACCCCGTACCCCGAACCCCGACCCCGTTCCCGAACGATTTTTTCATGATTCTCCCCGACCCGAACCCCGCCCCGAAAAAAAGTGAAAACCCCGTTCCCCGGCCCAAAAAGTTTCGGGGTTATCGGGGTTTTATACCCCTAAAAAATGTCATTTTTTGGAGAAATTAATGAAGAAAATTTAAAAAATTTTCACCCATTTTACTTTGCTTTTATTATTTTTGAAAGAAAAATGAATGAAATATCATAATTTTCTTTCCTTCTTTATTAATAGACTGGTGGTTGAGTGGCTTAGTCGTTGGTTTTACCCGATATTTCATTAATATAGGATTGGGTTCGGATTCATATAAGGAGAACTCCGTTGTTTTTATATTTTTTTACAAAAAATAATTATTAAAGAGTCAAATTTTAATTTGAAAATATTAATTTTATTTTTAACTGATATCCCTTGAACCAACCTTAATCCTTCAAACCCCCTGTATTACCAGTTCTCAACCATAACAGTTGGAAAACTATCGAGGTTCTGTTAACGGGAATCAGAGATATAAAGGGCATTTGTAGGATATCGAAGAATTAAGGAGTTATAAAGGGATTTAAAGGGATATAAGGTTTAGATTAAAATGAATTTGAAAGGATTACGTGAATTTAACGGAATTAACAAGGATTTCGTGGGAGATTTAAGGATTAATCGAAGATATCCCCTGATATCCGTCCAAATACCCTTATCCTCAATACATCAATATCCTTATAAATCACTAATATCCCTTGAACCTCAAATCTCTCCAGATCACCTTGTATCCCTAGATTAGAGTTGTACCCCGACCCCGTACCCCGAACCCCGACCCCGTTCCCGAACGATTTTTTCACGATTCTCCCCGACCCGAACCCCGCCCCGAAAAAAAGTGAAAACCCCGTTCCCCGGCCCAAAAAGTTTCGGGGTTATCGGGGTTTTATACTCCTAAAAAATGTCATTTTTTGGAGAAATTAATGAAGAAAATTTAAAAAATTTCCACCCATTATACTTTGCTTTTATATTTTTAAAAGAATAATGAATGAAATATCATAATTTTCTTTCCTTCTTTATTAAGAGACTTGTGGTTGAGTGGCTTAGTCGTTGGTTTTAGCCGATATTTCATTAATATAGGATTGGGTTCGGATCCAATAAGGAGAACTCTCTTTTTTTATATTTCTTTACAAAAACAAATTATTAACAGTAGAGAGCGAGATTTTCAAAAAACCTTGACCTTGATCCTTGACCTTGATCCTTGACCTTGATTTCAGTTGGGTACCTTGACCAGATTCTTGACCTTGAGTCAAGGAAAAATCAAGGAACTCTGAAAAATGCCTTGATCTGGATTCTGGATCCAGGAAAAATCAGGTCTGGTTCCAGATCCAGCTCGCTCTCTAATTAACAGTTAAATTTTAATTTGAAAATATTATATAATTTTATTTTTAACTGATATCCCTTGAACCATCCTTAATCCTTCAAACCTCCTGTATCACCTGTTCTCAACCATAACAGTTGGAAAACGGGAATCAGAGATATAAAGGGATTTGTAGGATATCGAAGAATTAAGGAGTTATAAAGTGATTTAAAGGGATCTAAGGTTTAGATTAAAATGAATTTGAAAGGATTACGTGAATTTAACGGAATTAACAAGGATTTCGTGGGAGAATTAAGGATTAATCGGAGATATCTCCTGATATCCGTCCAAATACCCTTATCCGCAATACATCAATATTTTTATAAATCACTAATATTCTTTGAACCAACAAAAATCACTTCAGATCACCTTGTATCCCTAAATATACCATTTAATCCCTAAAAATCCCACTTAATCCCACCAGATCCACTTATATCCCAAGTTATACACTTTAATCCCTTCAAATCCCCTCTAATTTCTTTAAATCCTACTTAATTGAATAAATCAACGAAAATATATCGATTTCTAATTATTTTTGAGCATTTTTTTCTCTAAAAATTTTTCCACTAAACCCCCGTACCCCGACCCGAACCCCGGCCATATTTTGCTCCCCCGACCCGAACCCCGCCCCGAAACAATTGGAAAACCCCGTACCCCGACATACCCGCCCCCGAGCGTTCGGGGTACAACCCTACTTTAAACTCAACTTGACATTTTAACGTCTACCATGGGGAGGGCCATAATAAGCATTTTGTCCTAAAATAATTTTTAAATAAAAAAATTAAAAACTAAACTAACTAGGCACCCAACCAGTAATTTGGTCTAAAAATCCATTTAATTGTTGATAACTAGGTAAACGGCCATAAAATTCTCTTTTTACACGTTTTGGATTATTAAGATGATTTAAATATTTTTCGAAAAGAATGGAAGGATCTTCCTGGGGAGGATTCTTTAATTCTTCTTCATTTGCTTTAATTATTGTACAAAAAATCAAAACAAAAATTAAATTAAGGAAAAATAATTTATTTAGCATTTTTAATTACTTATGGATGAGGAGAATTGGTTGTGTTAGTTATCGTCTGATTATGCTAATTTAAATAGTTTCACAATTAATTATTCTGCGTGTGGTCCATTTTAGGCTATCTAATTTGTGCAAATAATTATAATTTAGACCAATTTTCATTTAGAAATTTTTTTTAATTTTCGAAGTTTAAAACCTTCCATAAATAGTTAAAATAAGCAAAAAATAATCTAATTTTATTTGAGGTACATCCTTTTCTAATATTTAAAAAATAGACTAGCTGAACAAATTTTTAGAAAATTTATCGAAGAATAATTCAAAGCTTATCGCTTTTTTTGAAAATTCTAAAAAAATTTAATTTTTGAAATTTACACAAATGCTTGAATAGACCACACAATTAATATTTTTATTATATTTAAATAAGCATTTTAAATTAATTATTACCAACTCATTTCCTCACTTTCCCCCTCTCTAAATTTAAATAATGTCAAATAAATTAATTTTATTTATTTTTGTTTTTGTCTTAATTTATATTCAAATAAATGCTAAAAATAATAAAAATTTACAAAAATTTCCAAATAATCGTAAAGAATTTATTGAACAATATTTAAATCATCTTAAAAATCCAAAACGTGTAAAAAGAGAATTTTATGGAAGTTTACCTAGTTATCAACAATTGAATGAATTTTTAGACCAAATTACTGGTTGGGTGCCTAGTAAGTTTATTTTTTAATTTTTAAATTAAAAATTATTTTAGGACAAAATACTTATTATGGCCCTCCCGCTGGTGGACGTTAAAACGATCAGATTGAATGTGAAATAAAGAATAATTGATGAATAAAAAAATATTTGAATATTTAAATAAATATACAATTAATTTGAACTTTAAGATATGTATTATGCATAATTTAACATAATTTTATATTTAATAATTATTTGTATTAATTGGTTAGTTTTTCCCTGATAGCCTACCAAATCCTCTCTAATCTCCTCGTATCCCCCCTCCACAATTCCCCGTAATCCTTTTGATCATAGTTTCTAAAGGTCATCTTTTATCATTTTTGAATAATCATTTTTTGTTATAAAAGCAAAACTTAATGCAGCAGAATTAAAAATGCAGATCGTTCAGTGTTTTTGTCGTTCTATAATCTGTTCGTTTTGTAATTTGATAAGCTGAATTTTGTCTGTTCCGTGTTTTGTCTGTTCCCTAATTTAGCCTGATACTTATTTTAACATAAATAGCCATTAGTCTGATATACAAAAAATTCAAATATTTATTTTATGAATTTCCCCTACTCTATAAATTGCCTCAAAAATATTACACAATTCTTTATTTAGGCATATATTTTTTAAATAAAACTTACAAATTCACATACATACTATAAGTCAATAATTCAAAATTAATAGCCCACCTCAATAAAACCTCTTCTATATAAATTCACTCATTTTATATAATTTTTTAATTTATAAAAAATTTATCTAATTTATTTTTAAAAATTTTTATTATTTTTCAGATTTTTTAAATAAAAATGACTGTCAAACAAATGAAAATTAATGAAAATAAAGACAACGAGAAAGAAGTAGGTTGTGTTAATTAGAAGTTAAAAACTTAGCCTATTTAAAATTGGAATTAATTAAATTTAAATTATTAATTCTTAACCGTGTCGGGCTAAAATCAAGGAATGGACAAGTCTCAAGGGACGGCTAACTCAAGGGACGACAAGGAAAAGACAAATCAAGGAATTCCAAATCACGGAACAGACAACTCAAGGAACGAACAAGTCAAGGAACAACCAACTCATGGAATATTTTTAAAAATCAGAATTTTTCAGAATTTTTTTAAATTATGTTTTTTAAAGTATTCTAATTTATTTTTAAATTCTTATTTTTTAAAAATATTCAGATTTTCATATTTTTAAAATATTCCATGATTTGGTCATTCCATGAGTTGGTTGTTCCTTGACTTCCGTGATTTGGAATTCCTTGATTTCTTTTTTCCTTGACTTATCCGTCCGTGATCTGGAATTCTTTGAGTTGCCCCTTCACCCATTCTTAACGGACTTTTTAAGATTAAAAAAAGTAGAAAATTATTTCTAATAAGATTTGTCAAAAATTTAAAATAAAATTAAAAAAATAATTTTCTAGTCAAATCAAAATTCGAAACCAATAAATATAGTTTTGGGGAAAAATTGTTGTAATTATAAACAACATATATTTTGTGTTATTGTTAGTCTATGTATTGTTTTGTTAGTTGCTGCATATTTTAATAAGGGAAATTTTAAAGAAAATGAAATTAAAATTCAAAATATGGAGAAACAAATTAATGAAATGATTAAAGAACAGGTATTAAATATAAATTAAAGTTTTTACTTCCTGAAAGAGAATTTTGTTTAAAGCTAAATAATTGAAGAAGTTGCCTCATAAAGTAATGGAAATAGGAAAATTCCTGGGTAATCTGTGTTATCCGCCCCCATTTCCCCTAATTTGATCGGCTATAGTTTTTCTATGTTGGATCCAATCCGAATGAATCCTATGTCATTTGAAAGCTTTCGATTTTTCTTAACAGGATGTACCAAGTCTGATCGCCTATTGAAAGCTTATTAGTTGAGAAAAGATAACGCTTATCGAGAGCCTTCATATGACTTAAGATTCATTCGGATAGTATCCAAATAAAAAAAGCTATAGCCGATCAAATTGTGTGCCTTTTCTTTAAATTATTCAGTAAAAATCAAAATTAATTTTATAAATTTATAGACCAAACTTCATGAACAAATTATGACTTTAATGGATGCTAAAACTAACTTGGATAACTTAGACGGACAGACTGATAATAATTTTGATGAAAAGACTGTGGTTGTTGACGATAAAGAAAATAAGGTAAACCATTTTAGCGTAGCAAGCTAAAAAACTTATATTACTCTTAAAATACAAAACAAACTAGAAGCGATTTTAAAATTAAATGTTCAAGAAATAATAATTTTTAATTTTAAGAAAACTTCTGATTCTGTTTTAAATAAGAATAAAGATGCGTCGACAACTTATTTTAATTTAAAGAAATTAATTTCAATGTTCTGTGCTGCTTTATTTTTTGCTGTAATTCTCCAAGAAAAAAAAGTAACATTAGACTGGTTTATTGGCCTTCTTATTTTTATTTCAAATCTTCTGTTTTTCGTTTATATATTTGACCCTACTGTATGTTTTCTATTTAATCTTTGAATAAAATTTTTTGCTTAATTTTTTAAATTAATCTTTAGTACTTTTTGACATCTTATTACTTTTTTACATCATAAATTTAAAATTAAATTCATTTCGATATTAACCGATAATACCAAAGTTCTGAGCTACAAAAAATCCAAAGCAGGGATATCAAGACTAAAATTAAGAGCGATGAGGAGATATTGAGGGAATAACCAAATCTATCAATATACTAAATCATTCGATATTCACTGCAGAGAATAATTTTAGATACAATGATTTTTAAATTAAATTTTTTGTTCCTCTGTTTTAAGTAATTTTTGAGAAATTTTCTTACTTAAAATTTTGATTCTCTGTAGTTAAAATTTTGATTCTCTGTAGATAAGGATTCTCTACATTCTCTGTAGAGAATCCAAAATCTTTGAATACTTTTTTGTTAATCGTTTAGAATTTATTTTAATATTCAAAAACAATATTTTCGGACATTTATTTTCGATAAAAAATGAGAATCATTATGGCTATTTTAAAAGAAGTATCATTTGGCCTCCTTCAAAAAATTCTATTGAAATTTTCCACTCCAAATGAGTACCATGAATTATCTGAAAATTAAATTAATTAAAGGGAAATTAAAAAATATTCATAAAATGTTCTGAATCCCTTAGAACAACTAAAATTTATTATTTTCCTTTAAAAATAAGCGCACAACTGATTTTCCTATTCCACAACAAAATTATAAATTCAAAAAAAAATTTTTTTCACCTTCGTCGTCCAAAAGCCATAAAATCTCTCTCAAAATCACTTGCTCCCCTCTTGCCAAAACTCATAAAATCTCTTTGAAAAGGATTAGGTTCTCGTTTCCCGAAAGCCATGAATTCTCGTTGAAATGTCGAATCAGAAGGAGATCGCTTTCCAAAAGCCATAAATTCACGTTGGAAATTGTTAGGGGAAGCTGCTCTTTTTCCAAATGGGAGAAATTCTCGATTAAAGTTTCTCTTGTCGTCTACCGGTGAAACTTAACAAAAAATAAATTTATTTTTTAGTTTTTCTATTTTTAGAAATTTCAAAGGAAAGTTAAATAAAACTTTGTGTTTTTAAAAATTAAAAATATACGAATTATTTGTCCATTAACATTAGTCATCAACATTGTTGCCAAACAATAATAACAACTTAGAATGACTAAAATCCACAAGGAAGAGGAATAGGAAGAAATACTTTTTGTGCAGTTTGAATTAATTTTAAAAGACATTTTTATTTTATTAAAAAAGTTGAGTATGTATTTAATATTTTTTTGAATATAATCTAAAAATTAAGTAAAAAATGAGAAACTAGGTATTTTTTTGGTAAATTATTTTTTTCCGGATATTTTTTTCGGATTTTCGGAATTCTTTTTTACGGATTATTTTTTTCGGATCGGAAATCGAAAGAAAGTTTTTATAAAAAAATTTTTTCTTGAAAATATAAATAAAGAATAATAAAAATAAAGTTTTTATTTCAAGAATTAAAGTAATATTCTAGGAATAAGAATATATTTTTAAAAAAGTTCTGAATAATAAAACAAAAAATAAATATTTTATTCTTTTTTTGAAAATTAAAATAAATTTTAATAAAGAAAATTAAAATAATAATAATTTGAAATTAAAATAAATATATAATAATTTTTTAAAATTAAAATTAAATTAAAATTAAAATAATTTTCTTAATAATTTTTTTTTAATTTAACAAATTCAAAAATCAAAAATTCTTTCTAAAATTATTTAAAATATTTAATAAAATTTTATTCAGAAAATGCTTACTTAAATAAAAAATTATTTAAAAATTAATTTAATAAAATTTATAAAATTTATGTCATTTTATTTAATTAAATTGTGTCAAGTTTATTAAAATTATTATATGCTCTTAAATTAAATTTAGGTGCTATAAATACAATATTTTCTAAGAATTAGTGTAAAATATTAAAAAAAAGGTTAAAAACCGGAAAAAATAATAAAATTAAAAATAAATTGCAAAGTTAAAAAGAAATATATTTTAAGAGTAAATTTATAATTAAAAATTTTGTAGAATTTAATTATTAATTATATTTATTTAATTCATTTTCCGGAAGAAGAAATTAAATAAAAATAAAAGGGAATTGCAAGTAATAAATATAAATTGATATTTAATAAAATTTAAAATGCCTATTTTTAGAGATCGAAATTTAAAAAAAACCTTGACCTTAATTTCGATAGGGTACTTTGACCAGATTCCTGACCTTGAGTCAAGGAAAAATCAAGAAACATTGAAAAATGCCTTGATCTGGACTCTGAATCCAGAAAGAATCAAGGTCTGAATTCAAATCCAGCTCGCTCTCTACCTATTTTATTAAAATATTTGTTTAATAATTAAATAGATAAATATTAAATAAAAACAACAAAAATCTAAAAATTAGTTTCACAAACATTTTCAATAAATAAAAAATTAAAAAAAATTTTTATTTTTCTAAATTAGTAGGTAAATTTATTTTGTTAAAGTTAATGCTTTTCTATTTAGAAAATAATTTCTTTATTTAGGTAATTGTATGTTTTCATATAATTAAAAAAACGGAAGGAAAGTAACAAATTACAAAAGAAATTTTATATTTTAATTTACTAAAACTTTTTAAAAATAAAGTAAATTAACTATTTAAAAATGAAATTGAGATTAAAAGAAAGGGAAAGATTAATTAATCTATATCCCTTTTACGTTTAAATAAATATTGAAAATATTTTAAAAAATAAAAAGAAATATTTTTAAATTAAAAAATATTTATATTATGTTACTAATTGTTAGTTTAGTTTTGTAATTTTTAAATTTTGGAAATTAAAAATTAAAATTAAAAAAACACTAAAATATAACTTCCAAAAAATATTTTTAATAAAATTATTTATTTAATGAAACAATGTAGCATATTTAAAAAAATAATATTATAAAAGAAATATTTTATTTTTAAAAAATTTTTCTAAACAAAAATAAAATCAAAAATTATAAAATTTTAAAAAGAAATTATTTTTTAATTTTATTAAAAAACTAAATTTACAAAAAAAGTTAAAATTGAAATTAAATTTAAATACATATTTGTCATTTTAATTTGAAATTTATTTAATAATTTTATTCCAAAAAAATTTTTCAAATTAGTTAATAATCTAATAAAAATTAATTTTTATTTTAAGTTTATTTCAGAATTTTTTTAAAGAATTCTTGTAGCATACAAACATTTTAACATACATAAAATTTACAAGAAAGTAAATTTTATTTTAAAAAATAAATTTTGTTTTAAATATTTAATTATTTGGCTCTTTAAAGCCGTAAATGATAACGCCCTTTTTCTATTTTTTTAATTAAAAAAAAATTTTTATGGAAAAAAGTACTATTTACTTTAAATAATTTAAATAAAAACAAATAATCCTCCAAAAATATTTTTAGAAAAAAATATTTATTTACATATTTATTTGTTCTTAAAATATTTTTTTATTAGTATCATCATTACCAACACCCCCTCAATTTTTCTTTATTATTTTCTAATTTATTTTTTGCAAAAATTTCAAATAAAAAATTTAATATAGTAGTAAGATTTAATGAAAAACAATAAAATTTACCAAAATGGGAATTAATGCCTTAAGGCGCATAAATCTCAAAAAAAGTAATTATTTGTTTTTAAATTAAAGAAGTGTAAACGTAAAATAAAAATACAGTGTACTCAAAATTATAGCTTTGGTATAAGATATAATTTAGAAAATAATAGAAAATACTTTTACATATCTAAAAATATACATAAAACCCAAACTTTAAAATTACTAAAAGTATCTCTCAGAATTAGGGCTGCCGTTTTCGAGACGGGCCACGGTCAAGGCATTTTTTTCGGGCTTGTTTTTATCTAGTCGGGCCGGTACGAGTCTTTTTCGGGCCAAATATCTTAGGCCCGATTCGACAACCCTACTCAGAATTATACCCAAATTTTGGTTTTTCGTTTTTCTGACATTAGGAAAAACATACAAAAATTCCAACAAACGGGAAAAATTAGACCAAAATTTTCCTGACAATTTTTTAATTACAAAATTAACTAAAATATTTGAAATTTTACGGGAAAATAAGTATAAAATAAAGTACAATTTTAAATGTTAAGAATTTGATGAAATATCCAATAAATAAATTTAAATTTATAAAATTGTCTCAAAAAGGCAACTAAAAATATCTAAAATGATGAAATTGAAAAATATTCTTTTTCAATTTTTCCTTAAAATATGTTCAAAATAAAAATATTATTTAATTCTCTAAGGAAATAAATATTTTAACAAAAACTTGTTAAAATATAAAAATTATTAAGGTGATAATTTTGGATTAAAATTTTTAAAAAAGTAATAAAAATATATTTTCAGAAATATAAAATTTAATTTAGAAAATAAATTTCAAAAAAGGAGTCATGAACAGGGTGACAAGAAATGTTTAGGACACACTATTTTTGGCATAATTTTATTTAAATAAAAGATAATTAGCTCAAATTAAGAGTAAATCATAGGGAATTAAATAAGAATTTTCGAAGTAAATCAAGAATTTCTGACGTATCCAGCCTTGGCCTGGATAGACGGTTGAATTCGTCTGGTTAAATTTTAGGCAAAAGTTCGCACAACCTTGGGCGAGATTCTATCCCATTCCCTAGCGAGTGATTGTCGTAGCGATTTAAAAGTTTTGGGATAATATTATACTTAACGAAAAAACAAATAATTTTTTATCATCAAACTATAAAAATTAAAAAAGTTTAATTTTTCTTTTAATTTATATGTGGGCGGAAGATTAAATATGTGTGGGTGGAAAATTGAATTTTGGGCTTTTGTTTAAAAAATTATAAAATTGTTTTAAAACCAAAAAAGGGCAAAATAAGTAAATAAAAATAAATAAAAACAAATTCCCAAGGGATATTTTATAAAAATTTATTTTAGGGTTATTTACACTCTCAACATTCCCAAATTTATATTAAACTTTTTACTTGTTTCATTGAGTCTTTTTTACATCCTAAGATGGATGACGAGCAAAAAAGTTTTATAACTAAAAATATTTTTAGTCTCATTTCAAGTATTTTTTTGGCTATTTAAAGGATTTTTATTAACATAATAATTTGTAATATTTATGTATAAACATTCTAAGAGTTAGCTTAAGTTGAGGTTTAATAAAAAAGAAAAAAATCATCAACAGGGCCCGACATTTTAGGTTAAAAAAATTGGGAGATAGGTTCCTATTTTAAGTTTTTAAGTGCCAAGATAGGTTTAAAAATCGGGAAGAAGCCAAAATAGGTCCGAAAATAGGTCCAAACATGTCTAATTGACTGAAAATATCTAATTTTAAAGAACACCTTTAAAAGAAAAAATAGGAAAAAAACTCAAAGCCCTACAAGAAAATTCACAAAAAAATTTACAAAAGAATTATTAAATTAAATCAAAATTTGATAATAAAAAACAAAAGAATTGAATGACGAGAAGAAAAAAAGTTTTTTTGTTTTTTTACACATTACTTTTTATTTTATAATTAATTAATTATTTATGTGTATATTGTCTAGAAAACACCAAAAATTTCAATATGTTTCTAAAGAAACTTGGGATTTTTTAATAAAAGCAGGTGAAAAATTAATAAAAAAATAATAAAAAAATATTAGTCTAAAAATTTTAATAATTTAACAATTATTAATTGGACTTTCAACTTTATTTAAATAATTAAGAAGATAATGACAAAAATTTTTTGTGAAATTTTAAAAATAAAAAGATGCATAAACGTTTGTGGAGAAATAGGATTCTTAAATGATAGCCTACTGAATTTTCAGACACACTGTAACCCTTCGTAAAAATAAGTCTATGGACAATATGTATAAATAGGCTAACATTAATTATCTTAATAAATTACTTAAGTATTCTAAAAGAAAATTTATGTATTTTTTCCAGACCTTCTCCCAAAAGAAAAAATATTCAAAATAAACTAAATATGAGTGTAATTGAAAAAATAATAATTTATTTTTAGGGTTGTTCACGACCGGTTTTAAGAACGGAATTTTTGAAATTTTTTGCCAAAAATTAACCGTTTTTAGAAAATTTTAAAAACCGAAAACCGGAAATTTGTGAAAATGTGTGATTTTATTAAAAATTCCCACAAAATAAAATCGGTATTTGTCTAAAACTCAAAACCGAAAACCGGATTTTTAAAATTTGGATTAACCGAAAACCGGGGGTACCGGTTAATAACCGGTAGTGAACAACCCTATTTATGTATTTTGTCTAAAAATTAACTTTTGAATTTT